ACGTCACTCTCGCACTTACGCTTACAAACTGGAGAGAAAAATCGAATTCACCCAAAGGAAAAGCTCCCGAAAGCGAGAATTCCGAAGATTTTCTCAAAATTTGGCCGGAAAAGTGGATCATATGTGCTAAAATTTTGGTTTGCCCAAGTCATCGCTGTACAGCTTCCTTTCGCAACGTCACTCTCGCACTTACGCTTACAAACTGGAGAGAAAAATCGAATTCACCCAGAGGAAAAGCTCCCGAAAGCGAGAATTCCGAAGATTTTCTCAAAATTTGGCCGGAAAAGTGGATCATATGTGCTAAAATTTTGGTTTGCCCCAGTCATCGCTGTACAGCTTCCTTCCGCAACGTCACTCTCGCACTCGCGCTTACAATGTGGAGAGAAAAATCAAATTCACCCAGAGCAAAAGCTCCCGAAAGCGAGAATTCCGAAGATTTTCTCAAAATTTGGCCGGAAAAGTGGATCATATGTGCTAAAATTTTGGTTTGCCCAAGTCATCGCTGTACAGCTTCCTTTCGCAACGTCACTCTCGCACTCGCGCTTACAATGTGGAGAGAAAAATCAAATTCACCCAGAGCAAATGCTCCCGAAAGCGAGATTTTCGAAGATTTTCTCAAAATTTGGCCGGAAAAGTGGATCATATGTGCAAAAATTTTGGTTTGCCCAAGTCATCGCTGTACAGCTTCCTTTCGCAACGTCACTCTCGCACTTACGCTTACAAACTGGAGAGAAAAATCGAATTCACCCAGAGCAAAAGCTCCCGAAAGCGAGATTTTCGAAAATTTTCTCAAAATTTGGCCGGAAAAGTGGATCATATGTGCTAAAATTTTGGTTTGCCCCAGTCATCGCTGTACAGCTTCCTTTCGCAACGTCACTCTCGCACTTACGCTTACAAACTGGAGAGAAAAATCGAATTCACCCAGAGGAAAAGCTCCCGAAAGCGAGAATTCCGAAGATTTTCTCAAAATTTGGCCGGAAAAGTGGATCATATGTGCTAAAATTTTGGTTTGCCCCAGTCATCGCTGTACAGCTTCCTTTCGCAACGTCACTCTCGCACTTACGCTTACAAACTGGAGAGAAAAATCAAATTCACCCAGAGCAAATGCTCCCGAAAGCGAGATTTTCGAAGATTTTCTCAAAATTTGGCCGGAAAAGTGGATCATATGTGCTAAAATTTTGGTTTGCCCAAGTCATCGCTGTACAGCTTCCTTTCGCAACGTCACTCTCGCACTTACGCTTACAAACTGGAGAGAAAAATCGAATTCACCCAGAGCAAAAGCTCCCGAAAGCGAGATTTTCGAAAATTTTCTCAAAATTTGGCCGGAAAAGTGGATCATATGTGCTAAAATTTTGGTTTGCCCAAGTCATCGCTGTACAGCTTCCTTTCGCAACGTCACTCTCGCACTTACGCTTACAAACTGGAGAGAAAAATCGAATTCACCCAGAGGAAAAGCTCCCGAAAGCGAGAATTCCGAAGATTTTCTCAAAATTTGGCCGGAAAAGTGGATCATATGTGCTAAAATTTTGGTTTGCCCCAGTCATCGCTGTACAGCTTCCTTCCGCAACGTCACTCTCGCACTCGCGCTTACAATGTGGAGAGAAAAATCAAATTCACCCAGAGCAAATGCTCCCGAAAGCGAGATTTTCGAAGATTTTCTCAAAATTTGGCCGGAAAAGTGGATCATATGTGCAAAAATTTTGGTTTGCCCCAGTCATCGCTGTACAGCTTCCTTTCGCAACGTCACTCTCGCACTTACGCTTACAAACTGGAGAGAAAAATCGAATTCACCCAGAGGAAAAGCTCCCGAAAGCGAGAATTCCGAAGATTTTCTCAAAATTTGGCCGGAAAAGTGGATCATATGTGCTAAAATTTTGGTTTGCCCAAGTCATCGCTGTACAGCTTCCTTTCGCAACGTCACTCTCGCACTTACGCTTACAAACTGGAGAGAAAAATCGAATTCACCCAGAGGAAAAGCTCCCGAAAGCGAGAATTCCGAAGATTTTCTCAAAATTTGGCCGGAAAAGTGGATCATATGTGCTAAAATTTTGGTTTGCCCAAGTCATCGCTGTACAGCTTCCTTTCGCAACGTCACTCTCGCACTTACGCTTACAAACTGGAGAGAAAAATCGAATTCACCCAGAGGAAAAGCTCCCGAAAGCGAGAATTCCGAAGATTTTCTCAAAATTTGGCCGGAAAAGTGGATCATATGTGCTAAAATTTTGGTTTGCCCAAGTCATCGCTGTACAGCTTCCTTTCGCAACGTCACTCTCGCACTCGCGCTTACAATGTGGAGAGAAAAATCAAATTCACCCAGAGCAAAAGCTCCCGAAAGCGAGATTTTCGAAGATTTTCTCAAAATTTGGCCGGAAAAGTGGATCATATGTGCTAAAATTTTGGTTTGCCCCAGTCATCGCTGTACAGCTTCCTTTCGCAACGTCACTCTCGCACTTACGCTTACAAACTGGAGAGAAAAATCGAATTCACCCAGAGGAAAAGCTCCCGAAAGCGAGAATTCCGAAGATTTTCTCAAAATTTGGCCGGAAAAGTGGATCATATGTGCTAAAATTTTGGTTTGCCCCAGTCATCGCTGTACAGCTTCCTTCCGCAACGTCACTCTCGCACTCGCGCTTACAATGTGGAGAGAAAAATCAAATTCACCCAGAGCAAATGCTCCCGAAAGCGAGATTTTCGAAGATTTTCTCAAAATTTGGCCGGAAAAGTGGATCATATGTGCTAAAATTTTGGTTTGCCCAAGTCATCGTTGTACAGCTTCCTTTCGCAACGTCACTCTCGCACTTACGCTTACAAACTGGAGAGAAAAATCGAATTCACCCAGAGGAAAAGCTCCCGAAAGCGAGAATTCCGAAGATTTTCTCAAAATTTGGCCGGAAAAGTGGAAGCAAAGTGAATACTGAAATCGGATGTGAGCAGATCAAATGGTATGCTTCTATAACTAACTTCGCAACAATGACCAAGCTCGCAATTTCAACACCCCCTTACCACGCGCTTGCGTCTTTCAACACACCCATTGCAGCAGCAGAGCGTACCCTGCGTGTCGTGGCCTCTCGTTCGCGCTAGGACCTCTGCGTCCTCTTGACCTCATGATCGCACCGTCGCGTCCTCTACACAATAAGGCCCCGTTCGGCAACTGGCGTCTATTCAAAACACCCGTTGAGCATACATGTGGGCGGACCATCCTCGTCGTCTCGTTTTTTGGGATCGGGTTTATATTATAGGAGAGGATGTGGGTTACTGCGTTTTCTTCGTTTATCATAGAAAAATTAGTGCCAAAAAGTCTTTCTGAAAGAAAATATAAAGTTTTTGAGCGCGCCAATAGTTTTTAGCCACCCTGTAGTTTTTACGTTCTGTGTGTGTACATATTAGGTTGAAAAATTCTGTCGCTTTGAATTTCAAAAATTAATAACTACTTCTTACGTGTACTATTTGCTTCTAAAAATTCTATTTAAGAGGAGAAATCTATCCGCTTTCTAACAGCATCCTCGAGGCTCTCTGATAACAAAAGGCTCTAGAGATAAAAGTTGAAAAAGGAGGACGGGGGCACACAAACTCCCAATTTTCGAAAATAAATTGCCAAAAATCTGAAGCGCTGCAGAAAAGCCGAGCGCATGTTTCTTATAGATTCTGTGAGTTGTTCTCTCTAACGATGCCAGGATTGCGTTGATGGAGCTCTTCTGTGAAAAGTTACGATTTTCGAGAAAAATAAAAATTGCAAAACAATAATTATTTCCTTTTTTGCCCTTTTGAACACCCAAAAATCAGATTCTTGTCTAAAAAGGTCTTGCAAACTCCCAACTTTCGTCAATTATATACTATACATATAAGTATCATTTTTCGTATTTTTTTCTTACCTGGAAACTGAAATAAAATTAGGCCAAAAATTCAAAAATATCGGCGTTTTCGGGATTTTGAGTTAAATTTGATATTTCTCGGCAACTACCGCCTCGAGAAAGCCGAAAATTTATTGATATATAATACTTCCGAAGACTTGTAGTATGTATGGAGTTATCGATGTCGGAGCAATAGAGTTTTAATTATGCTAAAATATGCAAAGTTTTATTATCTCATCTTTTATCCATGAAAAATACTACAAAGCTGATGCGATAAGTGATTTTTGTAAGAAAATTAGAGGTTTGTAGGATTTTTTCTGAACAGAGATCCAATCGAGCATTTGGGATTTAGACATTTTCCTTATTTTCCGTATAGAAGACTTTGTAAGATTATAATACCATTTTGTAGGGCTTGATTTGCAATCGAATGATGTGTTCCTTGAAATTATATGACTTTTCTGCCCTCAAGAATAAGTAAATACGTAACATGTATCATATGCATCACCCAATATTTTTTCGCACTTAGGGCCGTATGCACTAACATCCCTGCGGCGAGGGGAGCGGCATCCCCCATTATGAAGGGGTCGCGTGCGGACGCCGCTACGACTTTTACATCATTGGGGACGTCGCTCCCCTCGCCGCAGGGATGTTAGTGCATTCGGGCCTTAATGTTTGACGGGGGGAATGAGGGGAGGGGAGGGGGGGGGGGGGGGAGAGCTGAGACAGCAATGCATAACGAATAATATTTGCTACTCATCTAATCCGTTTTCAATATCTGAATTGCTCTTGACTGAAACTAGTTGTTATTTTGCTTCTATATAGCTCTTTAGTCATAAATCTCATTTGTCTCGTTTTTTTGATTACATAACGTCAAATACGGCGGATGCTGATCGCATCTAAGTGTAAATGTTCTTTTATTTGAGGCTTCTGTGCAATACTATGCCGTCCAAAATTTGTTTCAGATTCATAGCATCTATGAGTTTTCTAAAGAAAAAGGTATAGGTAACTTACAACTTAAAAATTTCCTATTAGTACCACGATCAGAGTGCCTCAAGACCATTTTGTGGACACTTTCTCTCAGAAGATTGAAAATATAGTTTATGGACTCTTAAGTCAATTCATTCGACAACAGTTCAAAGAAAATAACTTTCACATTTATTTTGCTTTTCGAAACCACAGTCAGTCTACCATCGAGCATCTATACGTCCTTGAGGTATACAATGCAAAAAGCATATATTCCGCTGGTCCCAGTTCATTTTTTCCGTTCTACACACAGAACACTAAATGTGTCATACACTTAAAACGATGGTAGAAGCAAAAAGGAGTAACAGATACATACGGATGGCCAGGATGTCGAAAAAACAAACAGAACGGCAAGAATGAGTCCCTTCAGCGGCCACATTTTTTGGTGGATCACGATAAAACGAAAACACTTATATAATACTAGGTTTACGCGTTTTTGCACCGCTCTAATCCGATACCAAGAATTATGGAATCGGGATCAAACAGATCAACATCAACGCATACATAACATTTCGCGTTTTTTATGATCGCACTAAAATGATAGAAAATCATAGAAATTGAAATAAATATTGCCCACATATGTTGTAAACATTAGGAGAAGCGAAATGGGAAAAGCCGTTTCTGCTAAAAAAATGGTTACCTTTACCGAATTATTAATTTTCCCATTTTTTGCTAGGATTTTCTTGCCTTTTACTGACTATATGAATTTGCTAAACTGCGCACACATAAGCTCCAAAGCAAAGCAGTATGAGATTTTCTTTTGGAGAAACATAAGTTGTCTTCATTCTTTATTGCTTTCTTGCATTTTAGAAAACAGCGTCCACCCAAATCTTCCCTGCCCATATTTTTGTCATTCTGAGGCTATTCTGTGGCCCTGATTACAGATATGAAGTACAAAATGTGCCCCTCCCTCTCACCAAAACCCAATATTTGTGAGCCTTACCCTAAAGGCACAACGACTTTCGGTTCTTGGGTGGGCGGATCTTCATAGGGCGGGCGTGGTTTGATAGCGCATTCGCGGGTTCCTGGTCCGAAGGTATTTGAGGGGGAGGGTTTGGTAAGTGACTGCTGGTAACGAATCCTACGTGTGCAATGGCCGCAAACTCACCGACCTTCGCGATCACGCAGAGCTCTATAAACATTTTTTTGAGTGTATAGGAACGCTTATGTTTACCCTTAGCTCATGTTTGCAGGTTTTTGCAGAACATAGAGTTACAATAAACGTTTGATGGACACAATATTTACAGATACTGATCGATAATTTCGGAAGTGACTGTTCTGTTTGAGGTCAACCTATAATACATTCCTGTAAAACTCATGCAACACCAGCTCATGTTCATACTTTGTAAATTTGCGTTCTGAACTCTTGACAGTTGTTGGCATTAGTGCCTAGATTACACTTTGACAATTACAAGGAGCTATCGAACAATGGTAAATCAACCCAGGCTGATAAAGAAAAAGCACCTACTCTGATTAACTTAAAGTAATCATGAAGAAGACGACAGGATCATCAGGATGAAAGTGGAGAGGAGTGGAGAGGTCTTTTTTTCTTTTCGCAAAAAAGGGTTGAGTAGCGCTCGTAAAAGTGTCAAATAATACTTTGCTGTAGGAAAGCACGCAGACGAGAGAACAACAACAAAGAAATTAAGAAGAGAAAGGAGAAAACATTGCAAAAACGCCAGCAAAAATTACAGGGGATGGTACAAGTACGAGAAAGTAGATGAAGAAAAGATGATGGCAGTATATGTTTATGTGTATTATCATACACAGCAACAATGGGTAGACTTTCGGAACTGCTAGCATCTACGTCACAGGTTGCTGATGTCGCTAGTGAATCTGTGTCACCGTCTCCATCGTCATAAACTCGAGAACTGAACACAAGATTCTTATAAATACTCAAACAGTTGACCGGAACTTCCGCAGCACTTTCATGCGAAAACCCTGCAAAGTGCGACGGAACTACTGCAACGAAGTGCTGCGGAAATGCTGGAAAGACGGGGGATTTCCGCAGCACTTTGCGGTTTTAGCTTTCAATTCTGACCCATTTTCTCCATATACTTCAATTCATAATACCAATAAACGTTCTCAATTGAGGCATATCTCAAATGTAAAAATTGCTTTCGAAATGCTGAAATAAGACATAAACAACGAGTATTTTCACTAAAGTAAATGGAATGTGTATTATTCTATGCAAAGACACCATTTAGGAACGCAATATAGCATGCTCTAAACAGGAATTTTGGTCACTGAGCCTCAGATTGAGTACAGAAGGAGAATGAGAATAGTACGAAAGGATAAGAAAGTAGTTTTTTAATTATGCATATATGTGATAGATGTTCCGAAAGTTTTATCGTTCATTTTTTAAAATTTGCAACTTAACGCTTTCACGATGAATTCTACGTGACTTTATTGGAGAGGAAAAATTCTTTTCTTTGTAAATGCATCCTCGTGAATTTCTACTACAACTCATTGCAGAGATAAAAGTAGAGAAACACCATTTAGGCTTTAAAAATCTTGAGTAAGATCGCCAAAAATCTGAAACGTTGGTCCTTGGGTTTCATGACCTATTCCTTGCAAGAAACAATTGCGTCGTTTTTTGGAAATCTCCGTGAAAAGTTGAGATTTTTGAGCAAAGTGACAAATTAATCAGTTTTGGCGTTTTCTATTGTAAACTTGAAATTCGTAACTTTTCACGAAACACACAACACGTACTTTTTTCGTTTGCAACGATCGGGTCAAAAACCTACATATGCTTTGGCGATTCGGCCGCAACGCTAAAGATTTTTGGCTACCCAAGTTGAAATGATAGCCCGACAGTCTTCTTTTTCCATTTTCAATGCGTGTATAACAGAGGCTAATCAAGACAAGTTTACAAAGAGGAACAACTTCTTGTTTCTAGAAGAATTACAAAAAGCAAATCTGTTGAGACAGCGAAAAGTTACGATTTTCTGAAAATGAAAAGATGGAACTTTTGGAGCTACCTAGTGTCGTATTAGGACGTGCTTAAAGTAGTTTCGTTTTTCGGAGCAAACACCACTTTCCGCACAACAAAGGTTGATAGAATTTTTCAGTAGCGTCCGATGCAGCTTTTCATGCTCTTTTGAATGGTGGTATGAATCTGTTGCAGTACAATCAAGCTCTTAGAAATTGATAGAAAATAGAAACCATGGTGTTTGACATGATCAATTTTCTACTTATCAAAATTTTTACAGTGCTTCCCCCGAAAAAGTTCAAGAATCTGTGAATACAGCAAGCCTCATAAGATACAAGACAATTTTTTCTCTTGTATACAATACCGCCCACATTTTTTGAAAAATAGACGCGAATGTATGGACATGTATGGACATGTACGGACATGTCCATACATGTATGGACATGTCCATACATCTGCGTCGCGTGGCCATATCTCGCTTCAGAGTGGACGAATTCTGAATCTAAAGCTACCATTCGATTCAGCTTGGCGCGGAGAATCTTCTGATATATTGGATGTGGGGGTGCGATGTTTTCGATATTCCGTTTTCAGTTTTTTCAATCTGTTCTGCGGAGGTCCCTTCGCGAATATGTGAAGCAGCGCCTATCCAACATAGAAGACTTTACTAGGTGCTATTCGATAATACTGTTCTTGTAGATTACTGTGCGCTAAAAAATAGGCTCAGACTTCTTTCCAAAGGAGATAGAAGCGCTGGTGAATTTTAAAAAATCACGCGTTTTTAAATTCTACTCGCTGTAACTTCCTTCAAAATAAGTACATTTTGAATCCGAAAACAGCGTCTTGCTCAGCTCATCAAGGCAAATCTTTTTATATACAGCATGTCCTTGATATTTCGATTTCAGTATTCTTGACTCCTTCCGAGGACGTCTTTTCGCGAAGGTGTAAAGCAGCAAGCATTGTCCCTAGTACATTCCAGCAGGGATATTTCGATAACACTTTTTTTGTAGATTATAATGTGCTAGATGTAGCCGCAGGTTTCTTTTTAAAGGAAGTAGAACGGCGAGTGAATTGTGGAAAAATCTTGTCGTCCCAAATTCTACTCGCCATATCCGCAGGATACGAAGCTATCTTGCTAAGCAGATATGAGTTTCGAAATCAGCAGGTCGCATAACCTCTACGAGCAAGCTTTCCGATATGTTCGGGTTATCCCATTTTTTCTCGTTTTACGCTCCGGAAGCTCGCCGTTGGATTTTGGTCAAAATGTTGATGCTCTTGAATTGTAGGGAAACTTCGCTTATAGAGGTTTTCGAGCACGCTCTTTACGAAAATCGTGGTCTTTGAGGATTACAGGGTCTTTTTGGAGAGATACGGTGAGGTGACTGTAACTGCATCACAAAAGTGCGCATATTCGGATACACTTCTCGCGTATCTGTCAGGAACCTTGCCTGCTTGCTTTTTTCAGTCAAAGTTACTAGGAATTGTGTTATCGAATGGTGCATTACTCAGGCTCCAGTCTGTGAAATTCGCCGAGTTACGAGCCTACGAAAACACGTTCTCATGAATTTTGCCCAAAATGTAAAGATTGCATATCTCGTCGAAATTCCTCCGTGAGCGCTTGTACAACGCGCTGATCAAATCCTTTATTTTTATTTATTTATTTATTTATTCTATACGCTCTTGGAGTTCCACACAATAGAATAGAAAGCCAGTCATTTATAGTCTAACCGCAACGATAGTGCAACATTATTTAGGTCTAATCTTGATAAAAATGTGATGAAAGCTTGTATTTGACTGCTCTATGAATGATGCGATTCATGGAGATGTACCCATGCCCCCTTTTGCCAGCAAAATGTTTTGATTTTAAAGCAAACAAGGTTTGATGGTAGGTATATTATCTGACCCCACCAAACCAGTAAACCAGTGTGAGCCAGTGACTCCAAGTGAATTTCAACAAGGTAAGGATGGATAACTCAAACGTGACCGTGATCAAGTTAGGTTATTGTAATCTATGGAGATGGCAATCATGCCAACTCATTTGCCAGCAGAAGATGCTCTTGCAATAATGAAGCAAAGCGGGGCTCGGTTGGTGCAGTAATACCAATCAATCTTGCCCAAATGATTCTGGGGAGAGTCCAATGACTCCGAAAGAATATCAAATAGTTTCACTTTTTGTAATTCATTTAAGAGCAAGTCAACAAGCTGTAATGATTAGGAAGAGAAGGAAATTGATTAGACCTGAACTAACGTAATAGCAAGATATGGGTTAGTAAAACATTTGCAAGAAAATAATTTGAAAAAAGAACACAAATTGATGGTTGTATTTGGTATGCATTTTGTGGTCGGATAATGTAATCGCACATGGCCAGCTATAGCAATACAGATGACGAATTGGTGCTATTCATTACTCATTCTCAGAATGCCTCAAACGTAAGAGATCAAGTGTGTTGATTCT